TATAAGCATGATTTGTTGTTTTAATTATAATTCGAATGCCTTAAAGCTGAACACAAGTAGCTTTAAGAATGCTATAAAAATAAGTCATTGCATCAGGACTCCGAAGCGGTCTGACTGCTTAATGCTTAACTTTATTAAAACATTAACTAATTAATAATTAATTAAAACAAAAGAAAAGTTAGTACAATTAGTTTAAAAAGAAATCAATGAAAAAACAAATAGCTTCAGCTCAAAACTAAAAACTTTATAAATACAATCTATTAACCAGATAATCGTTCGCCTTTATCGATGAACATTAAATCCGTTTGCATGCTTGCGAGCTTAAACTGCTATCCATAACATATTTCAATATCCTGCTCATAGTATGACACTGAATCAAATAAGTTATAATACATTCGGCAAACAGATGTAGGGAAAAAGTTGTGCTCTGAAGCTGCAGCCAAGCAGCAGCCAAGCAACACCGGAAATGAAATAAATATTGGTCGTCTGTTAATGCTGACTGGCAACAAACCTCTCTCTCTCTCCAACGTCTGCTCATAGCCTATGTGGAGCGGCAGGAACGGCGTCGAACCAGCACCGGCACCGGCAAATTGTGTGCGGCAAAGTTTGTTAAGCAGTCACAGAGACAGAAGGAAAATTATTGAGGAAACGTTTGTAGTTATTTCGAAACTCCCATCCGTCCTCCCGCCCCAATGAACCAACAAACCGACAAACCAACTAACCAACCAAACAGATGCTGCCGCACAGGATGTTACAGTAGTGAGCATATTTAAATATTTGCCGAGAGTGGCAAATGCTGGAAGCTCGGTTAACTTACAACGCACACGTGCACACGCCCAGGTCGAGGTCGCTGTTCAGAGTGCAAACTTTGGGACCGATGCGAGCCAATGAAGCTAAAAAGTGCTCAACGCTCGTACATACTAGTACTAGTATTTCTGTATTTGTGTTTGTATCAGTGCTGCATGAATTTTAAAGCCTTCAGCTCTCCTCCTCGCCCACTTGCTGACACAATTTGCTAGCCAACAAATTTTTATTAGCCCTGCACGCAACCGAAAACAATTGTGAAAAGCACAACCGTGCACAAGTTCCTCGACCATAAATATAAACAGCGGTAGCAGCAATGCCAAGATTGCTTCATATCCACTGCCCAGCGTCCAAGAAGACATAACGACAATGTCTTTTCCTTCTACGCACATGGGGTAATATTTGTACTAGTACAAGTACACTCAGAGAAATACTTAATTCTAGATTTTATCACTAAAAAGCTTCTTAATGTAGAAAGGGTTCTATAATTAAGATTTCTCTTACCTTTTTTACAAAACATCTAATGCTCAGATGTTGCTTTGAATATATAAAATTTATTTACAAGTACTCGATACGTTTTTAAATTTATTATTGAGGTATTTATTAATTACAGCAAAGAGTTTACAAAATTCACAAATTTTTTCACTTAAAAATAGTTCCTTATTTTCAAAATTTCAAAAAAAAAAAAAAAAGAACACCTAATATTTAGGTTTTGATAAGATGACAAGACCAGACCTAATTGCCTTTAGTTGTATTTTAATTAGAATTGTTGGGGATTTTTTCTTATGGCTAGCTAGCAGAATAGTAAAGAAAATGGCTATGAAGAAATTGTATAGGAATTACTGACCACAGAACTTATGAACTACACTTTATAGTTTATCTCAAAAGAGGGATCACATTTTTTTTAATTTCTAGAAAATATTCCAGATTGTTCCATAATCTGATTGAATATTCGATTACCCAGATACTAGTTGAATTGAAAGAAGTGTTTCCAGTTACGTTCAAATAAAATTTAAAAAAAAAAATCCTATTTTGGGGGAATTTTTCCTGAGTGTATCTGCATGGCCATTGGTCACTTATGGCTTTGCTAAAGAAAATGGCTATGAAGAAATTGTACAGAAATGTGTAAACAGGGAACTTATGAGAAAAGCAGTCCACTACATTATATAGTTTATCTCAAAAAATAGATCAGATTTATTTTATTTCTAGTAAATATTCTAGTTTGGTCCATATTCTGAATATATATTGAATTAAGTCGATTTGAGTTCAATCACTTATCAATCAAAATGACTTAACAATCGGTCCAATTAAGAAGACTGTACATATGTGCGAATAATTATATCCATAGGCACCATTGATCCTAATCAAAGTACTTCAATTACACAAATCCATTATTTAAATCATTCGCCTAAGCGGAAAATTAGGTTATCAGCCTTAATTTTCAGTTCCATTTGATCAGCATTAATACTTAGACATCCTTTAATAATAAATCAATTTGACATATTTGCTCTGACAATAGATATCAATATGCCTTATTAGAGGCAGCAGCGCACAGAAAGTCCTCCAAAATAGCCCAACATTTTCTAGGGTAGCATTATACTTACAATAAGTATGTGTGTATGAACACGTATCTATAGCACCCATAGCGCACACTAGTCATATTACACAGATATTGCGTATACGCCGTGTTATCGCTGGTGAACAACGCACAGGCAGTCAGACAATGTCATGCTGTGTGGTAAATGTGAAAATATTACAGTTACACCCACACACCCACGCACTCACACATCCACACATAAGCGCACATACAACATGCTTAAATATTTTCTTTTTATTAATTTTCCTTCATTATTTTTATATACCCTGCAACGTACACAAGTGTGTAGGGTTATGCTGAACAGACCTAGTATATGTAACAGTTAAATGGAAATGTGACAGACTCCACTTTATAGTTCAACATATTGTTAGATAAATAAATAAATTAATTCAATATTGACGAGTTACATTAATATAGAGATGCCCGTCTGTACAGCTGTCAGAGTGTGTGTCTGAACATTAGTAACTTTTGAATTATATAATATATGGTATTTACAAGTTCTTAATAATATATTCTAATTGAAATCAGTAGCATTTATCTTATAGCTACCAAAAGAACGATTAGAAAAAAATTATTCTGAGTCTGAAAATAATAATATATAATTATCAAGATATCTAAATTAAATCTAGTATATATATGTTTCTGAAAATTGCTCAATGTATTTTGACTGACAGTCTATGTGTCTGTCTGAACATCGATAACTTTTGAACCATAACAACCACGGATCCAAGTCTTGGTATCTAGATTTGTCATGTCTATGTGCAACACAAGTTTTTTGCGAATCATATATATGGTACATATATGGTATTTACAAGTTCTTAACAAAATATTCAAATATTCTGCAGTGGCATTTATCTTATAGCTGTCAAAAGAATGATTAGAAAAGAAATCCTTCTTAGTCTGAAAATAATTATATATATAAAGATATAAAAATTATATGCAGTATGTAATATATATGTGTTTAAAAATTCCTCATTGTATTTTGAAGTCTCTTTGAAGTCAAACCGCTATAACTTTTTTCTACAAAAATGTCGTTTAAAGATTCATTAAAATCATATGTGGTGTACAGTCTTCAAAGCAACGATTTTTTGGAGTGGCAACTGGAAAGGAGGGGTGGTTACAGGGTATTTCAGAGTCATGCATGAGCAACTCTAACGTGTCACCCGTTGTTTTGTTATGGTTTTGTTTTGATACAACAAACATGGATTGAAATACAAGGAGACACACACAGGAGCTTACATATATGTTTGTATGTACTTGTATGTGTGTACAAGTGACCCGCACGAGCTCAACAATTTGTCGTGAATGGCGTTGGGCGTCCATTGTTCGGAATGGGAAATTCCAGCGAGGCCCGCATAAATGAATGAAAGTAAACTGACGTTGCAATGTTGCCCGATGCCCGTTGCCCGTTGCCAGCTGTGTGTGTGGCAGCAAAAAGTTCATGCCTCGCATGTTTTGATAATGAAAAATAATCATAAAAGTGCATGCATGCATATAAAATGGGGTTGATTGGGAGGTGTTGGGGTGCCTGCCATGTAGAAAAACACAAAAATCACACTTCAATGCGAGTATCAATCAACGTTCCTTTAATATTTGTTTGCCCATTTTTTTAAGTTCTTGTTTCTGCTACGTTCGAGTTGCATGATTCACGGGATGGCAAGCCACACAATATCCGGTCTGAACATTGATATATCCCTCTCTCATTGTCAAAAGTTGTGGCCAAACAATTTCAACGGATATTAAAAAAGTGTCCCCTATTTGGCTTTTATTTGCCTGCATATTTAAATATTTTGCGGTTGACGCTTTAATTATGTAAGCAAACAATGCAGACTGTAAATAAATATCGTAAAACTATAACGTCCATCAGCCATGTAATGTGATGTAAACAGACATAATATAATATGCAATGAATATGCAATAAAGTTTTAAATAAAAGCGACGATTAACAGCTGCTGAACGGATACGAATATGTAAGTGATTGATTCATGTTGCCAATGTTTTTAATCCACTCATTAAATATGAATTGTGAAACGATAATTGGAAATATTTTACCACCCATATTTAAGCGAAGGGATACACTATTTACGCAACTTGTTAAAAAGGTTTTATTGTTTTGTTATAAGTTCTTTGTAAATGTTTATCTTTGTTGTCAACATATTAAAGTGTAAAAAACCCTCTAGATGTTTATTAAGTGATTATAGGTATTATTTATATTTATCCACAAAGTTCTGTTTTAGCTCGATACAGCGATATTTAATAGCTCCGATAAGTCCTGCTCTTCCTCGTTCCTACTTGTTTTGGGAATATATTAAGCGATTATAGGTATTATTTATATTTATCCAGAAAATCCCCTTTTACCTTAATACAGCGATGTTTAATAACTTCGATATCATCTTCATAGGGAAAAACATTTCATCTAAAACAGCTATGAATCTTAAGTTACAGTTCTGCATTTCTGTCGGTTTTCTGCATTTGTGAAAATATAAATATGCTTGGAATACTTTCAAATAAAGAAAAAAGACTTTAAAAACCTGCCAGTAGGCATTGAATTCCTTCAATTCTACACAAAACATATATAATCATAAATTAGAAAACGAAAGCAAACCAGCACTGCACATCACATCTTCAGCTCACGATTTACGAAAAACAGCTCGAAGAACAATTTCCAATATCCAGCCAACATGGATGTATATGTGATGATACGCAAACATAACAGCACAATACTTCTCGATATTAAAGAAAACACCACAATTTATGATTTGAAGTGCATGATAGCGCCCCTCTTGAATGTTCGACCTTTCGATCAGCTATTATTTTCTAAGGATAACAAACAGATGATGAATTCGGATAAGTTGAAGGATTATGGCATCATAGCTTCGATTGCAACACCGCAGGAACCTGTACAATTGAGTCTCGTTGTAAGAGACGACGAGGGGGATTTTAATCCAATTGATATCACACCATATTCCGAACCACCGCCATTACCAATAGTTGGGCCCACAGAGGAGAAGGAAGAAGAAGAAATGGTTATTGAAAGTTTAATACTAAGAGCAACTGTAAGTAAACAAGAAACTGGAGAGAAGTATTTTTTTAACAGAATTGCGCTTTTAGGAAACCTCCATGTTCAGTGCCAGACCGACTTCGGTTGAAGAACAATAATTGCCCAAAAAAATACTGAGTTAACGGATTTATGACATTAAAAGATACTTTAAGTGGAATTAAAATAATAATTGAGCTATAATACTTAGTATGGAATGGATTTGGTGCTAACTTCTGGAACAGTTTATTTTATATATATTGAAGCTATAACTCAATGATGTCCGCAAAAAGTTTCAAGAGGTTCAGAATTAATATCACCCGATTATGCAGTTCGAAATATGGCTTCATTACAACTCCAGTTGCCTGTTTCTTTTATTTTGTAACTGACTTGTTTACTGGGAAAGATTGGAGGAAATCATTCAACGTCACTTACAACATATTTAATATATTTTGTAAATTATTGGATTGGAAAAAGGCGATTATTTTCAAACAAATGTTCATGGTGATAAAAGTTAGCAAGGGTTAGGTAAATTACAATTTTTACTACAACGAATGCCTATGGGTTGTGTAAATATTTTTCTATGATAGCTCAATGTATTTATTTCTATTAAGTATGCTTCACAAGTTGATTGTTTTCTTTAAAATTAGGAATTGATTGACAATTTTACCAACTTCTAGATTCGATGTATGCAAATTTTTAAATGACTTTGTTGTTCAACTTGTGATGCGAAACTATACAGTAACGATAGGTTTGTGTTTAAATGGATATATCTTTTGTTTTATTGAAAACTTTCGTCAAACTGATACTATCAATGGCCACTTCTTAGTATCTTATAAGTAATATCTACGCCATACTTGCTTTTAAATTGCAGCTCTTCAAAAATCAATTAATTCACTATTTTTCATTTCAACAGCCTGCTTCTTTTTAATTAAACTGTTTTCGCACTTCAAACCAAAACCAATAATTTGTCTTCGCCATATTTCAATGAATGCCAACCGGAAGTTGTGCACAACTTCCCGTACTCCGCTGAAATGGCGGAATGCGCAGACCTCAGATATACGCAGACATATCTTTTGGTAGGAGTTGGCTTTAATTGCAGTCAGACAATTGTATTTCATTTTAAAAATAAAATGTTCGCACATTTCTCAAAAGCGCCATTGGACGGACACTACAAGCCGACCAGGCAGGACATGCAGGCACCATTCATTGTCTTGCCTTATACCATTGATGTGTGCGACCCACAGAATTTCAATAAAACCCCAAAAAGGACCTATGAACACACACACACACGCAACCGAAGTGCTATGAAAAGAATTAAAGCAACAACTGCGTGAGCCGCTTTCAATAAACAACCAGTCGGTGTTGGTTGCTTGCCAGCAGGCCTTTTTCCATTTGTCCTGTCGTCCGACCATTCGTTTGACTGCTCAACTGGCCCTCGGGCTATAATTAAAATACAAACCGTGTTGCGCATATTGCACAAGCACCGTTGCATCTGTTGGCTGTACAATATTTTATTTCATCATCCCGAACAAAAAGAATGAAATATGCCCTGAGCTTTTTTTATTGCATTCCACATTTATTTTGTTTTATTTCATTAAATGTTGTATTTTTTCGACACACATACACATATGTCCGATGTGTTAATGATATGATGTCTGGCCAGTTAAATATTTGTGTGCGAACAGGGAATATCAGTTACTCCAATCAAAGAGCAAAGATCTGTATCTTTTTGCCTTGAAACTTATTAATATGCTCAGAAAAATTGAATAAGCTTCTATTTCGAAAGCTGCTCAATGCTATCAAAATGACAAGCTTACTGTTAAGAATCAGAACACAATTAAACTTCGCTTTGATATAGCTAAGATTTATGCATTGAAGAATCTTTTTCCATGAAGTTCGTTTTATACAGACCCAAAAAAAAGCATGTATATGTACATATGCATATGCTCAAGATTTATCAATTGAAGAATGTTTACTATGAAATGCTTTATATACTCAGAAAAATAGACTAAACTTAGCTTTTTCTGCTTCTATTTCGAAATCTGCTGAATGCTATCAAAGTGACGAGCTTACTGTTAAGAATCAGAACACAATTAAACTTCGCTTTGATATTTATCCATTGAAGAATGCTTTTCCATGAAATTCTTTTTATACGGACTCAAAAAAAAAGAAGCTTATATGCATGTATACTTATTTATATGAGCAACCTTATTCCTCGATTCGAAGTTTGCATTTTACATTAAAATAAAGGCAGTATCTACTGTACCCAATGTTTATAAGCGGTATCTACTGTACTGTATATGCTAACCACAACACACAGGCAATTTCTCAGCCTCTGGTTTCAATAATTTCGCTTCAATGCACTGCGGTCGGCGACGCCGCAAAGTAGACTTCGCACGCTTACCATTGATAGCGATTGTTTGGCTGAAATTTTGGTTCTACATTCCTCTGTTGAAATGTGCGGGGATTGTGGCAGTCCAGCATTTGATTTGCGTGTGGCATCAAAGTGTTGGCCGAACAGGGAATCTGCATCCCACATGCTGTTGGGTGTCATAAGCTGCTGGTAAGCCTGAATATCAAGAGCAGCCATGAAGTCTCCAAAAACAACTCAATCGAGTTTTGTATGAAGTTGAAGAAATAAGACATGCTCGTTAATAGGAAACAGTAAATTCTTTTACGAAACTATTGTTTTTTTATTTTTTGTGTAAATGGGATTCCCGAAAGTTAGCAGACATCCTAAATTAAACAACCTTTCAAATCCTTACCTTACTAAATCGTACACCGTCATAGACTTATTAATTTTCAAAGTCAACTTTCAATTCTTCTAAATTTTTGTTCGCACCATTCCTACACTTATTAACAAAATTATAATTTATTCGAAAAACATTTGTTTCCCAACAATTCGAGAGGGTTGTTAGAAGACTATTCCCATAAAAAGCATTGCTGTAGTTAGTCTGTGTTGTTGTTCTCGTTCCTGTATTTCTATAGTTTTAGTTTCAACTGCTACCGTTGTTGCAATGGGAAGGCTCGATGGCGTTGTAAAATATAATCATTGTGGCATGTAATTAGTTTTTGTGTGCCCTCGGTAAGCCGGGTGTCTGTGTGTGTTCGCAAATAAAATTTATTATTGCATTAGAGTGTGTTATGAGAAGACACACACATAGAGTCGCCTCTGCACCCGAATGTATGACTCAGCGGTTGCTATGCAAATTATATGTAGACTTGCTCGCAGGCTGCCCCAAAATAACCCATTGGCCAAACCACGCATTCATTTAAGTGAGAAATGCATATGTGTAATTGTATTGTGTTCATAATGAAAACACACACACTCACATCTGCCCATAAATACACACACCTACCCTGCAGTTCGGCTGGTATTGAGTGTCCAACGATGAAGTAACCAACAAATGAAACACTGGCAGGATTTGTGCAAGGCAGTATCAAGCTATAGGCTTTTTTATTTCTTTAGTTTTATTTAGTTTAAGTTCTCTATTATATATATCTATTTTTTCTTTTTTATGTTTTCTTTAACATCGACTGCATTTTTTGTCGATGTCGATAAATAAATAAATAATTTGGTGATAAATGATGGCTAGTAGCGAAAAAAACACTCCAAGACGGCTTCAATCAGACTTGGATATTTCACGAGTAGGCATCTGAACAGTCGATGAATATATATATCTGGTGTGTAAATATATGGTTGAAAGACGACTAACTTGTAAACTCAGAACGTGCCGCAACTGACGATTATCCGTCTGATATACACATCGGTTCAAATCTAAGAAATAATCATCTGCACAGAATTCTGACTAGTAAACGTCTGATGGTAAGCTGTTGACATGCAGGTATCTGATGTGTACATAAATCTAAATATCAATTGAAAATAAAGCCTACTAAATGAAGAATTTATTTAAAAATTATTTATAAATTCTGTTAAATATATTTTTATTTATTTATTTTATTTATTTAGTAAATCAACAAATAGTGCTGTCGATACATATACAGAAACTATGATTTATATTATAATATAATATTATAAAATAAAACAAAGATATTTAATAATACAAGGTTAGAATTTCAACTTAAAAGATAAGAAAGCCTAAGAAAAAACTATACAATAACGTCTTTTAATGCCTCCGACTCGTTGGGGGAGTGGTCAGAGATATTATAGAAAAAGTATATTATAGGAACAGTAATTCTACTTAACAGCTAATTAAGTAGAGTAAAAGGAAAATCTCCAACATCTAAATTTTTTATATTTTATTTAAATATATACTAATTTAACTTCAACTCCAAAGAACCTTGCAATGCTATTTAAATAGCACCATCAAGACTAACTTTGAAAAGTAATAGGCTTGAAGCTGCCGGGTCTACATAGCCGCAGGATTTGTAGCCCTACACCATTTGCTGCCGACCCTTTCATCATTAACTGACCGCATGGTTGTGCGTGTAGTGCCAGTGTTGCGTCCAACATGTCGTATTAGTAATAATAATTTACACATTATTGTCGCTGTACTTGCTGCGCTGATAGTAGTTGATGTGGCTACCTTTTTGTTGTTGGTGTTGTCGCTGGAGCTGCCCAGTCAATAGTCGATTTTCAATTTAAGTTGCATGCGTAGGTATTTGTGTGCGTTGATTGGCGGTTGTTATGGTCGATACGTGCCTGCAATTCAATTGATTTGTTGCTATCGTTGATTAACACCTCCCCTCTCCCTTTCCCACCCCCTCCACACCGTTACATGCAACCCACCACAAATGCCACAAATTTTGTTTGTACGCGCTTGAGCGACAAATATTGTGAAATTAACTTGTTAAATTATGCTAGGGGCAGATTTCGCCCGTGATGGTGTTGCTGGTACTGCTGGGGCTGGTAATTGAAGTTTGATTTGTGATTTTACGTGACCTTTTTCCCACTTAATTGAGCGATTGTGTTCCGTCAGGCTGTACGGCAGCGAAAAGGCAAACTGGAGGTGTAAACCCAAACAGGGTAGTAAATATACATACATATATCTAGATTATTGATACTGATAGCGAACCAAATTGTAGTAATTTGTGAAAGGACCAGTTGTTGTAGTATTTAAAAGGTGAGGAGAGTTAGAAAGAACAAAAATGATTATAATTAATGCAATCTTGAGGAGTGGGAGTGAAACGAATAATAAGCTTCGGACAGTATACTTGTACATATAAGATAGGTCAACATATATTATTAAGCCCAAGGCTTGTCTAGTACTGTCTTTTGTTAAATCTGCGCCTTTCCCTGAATACATTTTAAACAAAAATCTATAATTAGCTTTCCCCAAATTTGATAACTCCGTTGAAGGCAATATAATGGTTTTTTAGGCGAACAATGATATTGAAGTTATGGGACTCGATTGTAACCTCTCCCCTCAGAGTAATGCGCATCGACACCGAGTTATCTTTGTAAATCTAATCCAGATACATAGTACTGTGTCGGGGAAGTTTTCAGGTGGTGCTACAAGTATTTTCTATGTTCTGCTCTTTATTGAAGAAAAATCAATAATTAAAAAGTCTACACTTTAAATCCTTCAATAGATATATGGTTGGTCTAAATTCCTTGAAACAGCCTTCCTATCTTAAAAACTCATTGAAGCAAACAGTTAGTTGAAGGGTTTAACCAATAGGGAATATTTATAATTATTAATTTCTCTTCTATTTTCGATTCTGCTTTATTTTTAATTTAAAGTCGCGTTTCATTTACATTTTTGCAGTTTTTCTGCACGTTGAGAGTTATTTATTGTTTCTAAAAATTGAAAAAAAATGAAGTGCGCCTTGAAACTGACTTCCTCAAAAGTCAGTTGAATGCTTTGTTTTGAAGCTATATTGCTCAGTTGGATTTAAAGACGAGAACAGAGCACACAGATTCTACACACAAAAATATACAGAAACTTTTTTGGTAAAATTTTGTTACGTGTATTGCAGCAGCATCGACTAAGCAGCTTTAAATTTCGCAGTTTGCATTAAAAGGTGAGCCAATCTCCTTAAAATATTCATCAATATTAAATATAAACTAGCATATAGACAGTAAAGAACATTTAAACAAAGATACAATTAGCTGTCAAGAAATGTCTGATAACTCATCGACAATCGATCCTTATGAGATTGATGAGCGTCAGGATGAGCCGGAACTGGTGACTGTAGGATCGGCAACATCGATTATACCAGCACCAAGCGCTGAGGCACAACCACAGCCAGAGGCTGAGGTAAACGACAACTCGGAGGAAAATGAGGTGGTGCATGCACCGTCTTCTAGTTCCTTGCCCCGTGGACCATCACCATCAATTGTTGCCGGATTGAGTCTGCTTCAAAATAGACGTCGCCGTCGACGCCGCCAAGTTGAATCGGTAATATCCAATCGTCGTCAAATGATACGCGTACGAGAGCTTCCCCGGATAAATTTTCGGCCCTGGAACAGAGCCCAAATGAGCATAGCAGCCCAAGCTGGATATGAATATAGAACTTGGTTAATTCAAGCGCCCCACGTGCGTGTTATAAATGCCCGCACCAGGGACCAAATCATACAAGCGATATCCAACACAATACAATCACAACGAAATAGGGGGGGCTGGGGATCGGGTCGTGCGGCTCGGAACAGAGCCAACCAAAATATGCGCGTACCTGAAGCACAGAGAAGGCGAAGACCCAGACCAGCAGCCCAAAACACTGCAGCTAATCGGCAAAGAAATGGGCCAGATTCCTCCTCTAGCTAGACAATCATTTGAATTATGCATGTTTTAGTTTAGGTTCCTAGATAAAATATTATATCAAACCATATTTATAGTTTATTAGATAAACTAAAACAAATACAAGTATATAGGTCGTTAGATAAATGTTAAATTTAATGGCAGAGAATAACAGCGAGTCCGGAAACTAGGTTCAATAGCAAATACCATTGACTCGAAAATGTTGTTGCAGCTAATCGGCAAAGAAATGGGGCAGATTCATTTGAATTATGCATGTTTTAGTTTAGGTTCCTAGATATTATATCAAATATAATATTATAAATACTATAAATATGTTTATTGGACGAACTAAAACAAATATATAGTTCGTTAGATAAATGTTAAATTTAATGGCAGAGAATGACAGCGAGTCCGGAAACTAGGGTCAATAGCAAATACCATTTACTCGAAATTGTTTAAAAACTTAATCCTTTTGATATTATTATAATACTTATCTAAACTGCCCAAAAAGATTTTCAATATTCAAAGTACTAGATTCACTTGTCTTAAGCGGAGCTGGATTGGTGCGAGGACCTCATAATAAGTTGTGGATGAATGGACGACGAAGTTTTGTGGATGAATGAACAATGTCGATGGCTCAACGGCTTTATTTATAAATACAATTTTGTCCTAGTTCTAATACTATTTTCTACATACTATTCTTTTTTTTGTCGTTTTCCTTATCTTCTACCTTATCAGATAATACAAGTTGGTCTGCCGCAGCACGCTTATGACTTGTTTACCTACACATCCTTATCTGTTGAGCTGGCATCTGCCAGCTACGAAATGGATGGTATTTTTCTCGGCAGCCTAGGTCGAATTCATTATCAGTTTTTATAGAAAGTCTGTCTGTGTTTCTTATTGACTTTTTGTCTTTAAGAAGGCGATAGCACACAAGTAGTGATCTAGACAGAGCAATTTTAACTTACTATTAATTTATATTTATTTAGACACTCGATAGCATTAAACCATACTGAATGAGTAAGTTCAAGCCTGGGTTTTTATAGCAAGTATACACGACCAGTGTGGATAATAAATCCACCTATCCTCTTGCGAGTCAATAGCATGAGATTTGTAATTGTAAGCATTCTTATTTTGTACGCTTACTGTTAACTATTTTGTTATGGGCAAATATTATTTGATGAATAGGAAGGCAAGAGACTATCCAGCTAATCCCTGGTCTATGGATGATGGCGTAACGCAGTTATTAACATAAATATGTATTTTGTAAGGAATAAGGCCTAATTGTGTTGCTTCGACCGTCAAGCATTGTCACACACTTAAATATTAATTCACAATCTAAAAGAAAAGAGAATGGATTAGAGTTCAACCTTTTACGCCTCTTTATAGATGTAAAATGTATAAACTCTTTTATAACGGGTTCCAGAGTAGGGAGAATTGCTTAGATTTTCCCTTTTCTTTGCTCTTTATTTCCCATTTAATGTCAAGTAGTGCAGGCAATCGTGTATTATTTTCAATGTAGACTATTTTAATTGTAGCTTATAAAGAAGAGGGCAGGTTCGAGTAATCCCTTTAACTTATTTATTTAGCTATACTTGCGACACAGGTAATAACGTTGTAATACATTAGGTAGTGCTAGGGATATAGCAGAAAATAAAGAGTTTACTTTTTATTAAGAATTGCAAATTAGGGATAATGAGATTAAAGTTACCCTTTCAACTATTCTCAATTGGTTGCATTAGATATCAATGTAATAAGCTGTCAAGCATCACAATCAGTCTCGCATTAATTAGAATGACTTAGGTTTAACCCTTGTTGCGGTCTCTCTTTATTGACCACAGAACTCGACTAAAAGCTGAATACCCACATACTGTCCCAGTCGTTGTACCTATGGCTCCCTCTGCTAGTCTGTCTAAGCCCAAATGCCATCTCCGTTTGTCATTTCCTGCTGTATGTGCAGCAACGCTTTTTGTGCTCCGATTGCTCTGCACTTTATCACTTGGCTCACGCCATGGCAACTGCAAGTGAAGTGCAGAAGAAGAACAAGAAGGACCAACACCAACACCATCAGCGCCAGCAACCGCAACAGCAGTAACAGCTCGAGTACCGCAGACAGGCAGACACAGGAAGGCAGGCAAAGGGTATGGGAAACCTGGCTCCACAGCTTGTGGTTTGCATTTAGGGTTTAAGTGGCGCAAAATCAGCGTGCGTGGTGCCGAGGAAAGTGCAAACACCGATGCAGCAACAGCGCAAAAGTAGTGCAGCTATGGATTAATGGATGATGATGGCGAAGTCTGCTTCATTAACAACATCAATCGCGGACTTGTCGGACGCTTGGACCGCTAACGGCCTGTCTACTCATTACGTTGATATGAACCGCACAGGAGCTGGATGCATTTAATAAAGCGTTCGTGACCACCCACTAGAAAGTTTGGATTAACTCTGTTGCTAGAATAGCGGTATTTCGTTCTGGGGCTTGCTATTCCGCTTTTAATTACCTTTAAGCACTTAATGCAGTGCATTAGTGGCTGATGATTTGATTCTCAATCATGGAAAAAATATAATGGACTTGTACAATTTAAAGTAACAAAACTTTAGCAGGAAACTGTATACGTTTTCATAATAGAAACGTGCCAAAAGAAAATAATAAGAGAATAATGCTATGGTCAGGCAGACGAATAGGTATAAAGTAGAATTATGAATTTGCTTGAAGTGCTGCTGATTAATAAACCTTAAATGCAACACTATTGAATTAATATTAGCTGGAGTCATTAAATGTATCAGCAAATGATTCAATGCCCCCCCAACTAAAGCGTATTGAGAGGGGAAAACGGATACACTTAAGCATTAATGATCGCACTGAAAATGGTGTGCAAAATCAAAAGTAAAGTCTGCAGTTGATAAAAGCCAGCCAAGATGGCAAAAACTAACTGCACCCACAATGCCAAAAACCCAGCACTTTAAAACAATTTTCTTTGCAAACAAACTTCAAGTGAAGCGCATAAAAGTTGCTTTGGCTTTGGCTGCCTGGGTTTGGGTTTGGGACTGGGGCTGGGGCGGACTATTTATTTGCCCCCAATTGCAAACGGCTCAACTGAACACTCAGGCCAAACAGACCTACCTATATATACACAAACACAAACAGAAACACATACATCTGCATGCGAGTACACAAAACTCATTCACACGTAGCAGCACTAACTGTCGTTGGTGGCCTATTCCCCGATCCCCCCTTCATCCACTCAGATATATGTAGTGCTGGTGAGAAGGAAAAGAAACTTTGCCTCATAACTTCACATTGAAGAAGATGCATGTGCAACACGTTCGTGCCATTCAAAAGCGTTGCTGAAACTGCCTGCTCCACCCCCAGAATGTACGCAACTGTTTTAATACCCTGTACAGAACCAGAAGATTAAAAGGTATACTAAAAAGTCAAAAAATATGTAACAAGCAGAGGGAAGCTTAAAAGTAAATAGCCGAATCGAACAAGGCTATAGTTCACCTGTCCTTCCATCCATAAGTCCGCGTGTTCGTCTGTATGAACGTCGATCAATTTTGAACCATAACAGCTAGTGACACCACACTTGGCAGACAGCCTTGTTGGACAATTGCTAAATTTTATGAAAACTCTTGACTTCGATGCGACGTTGTTCGAGTCCCGCTAGCTCATTGTATAAAGTTAAAGTTCACCAAAATTGGCTTATTTTCAACAATCGTTTTTGTTTTGGAAGCCAATTCAACCTAAAACATATCTATATGTATTTTTAATATATTTAACTTGGAAAGAATCCCTTTTATGAACAACCATAATAAATAATTGTAGGACTGTGTGAGATGGAGCAGGGTATACAAAAGTCGAGCTCTCGCGACAATAACGATGAACTCGTTTTTTTTTTTTTTGCTGCTAGACATTTAAAGCTGCAATGTTTCTTTTTGTATACTCAGTGCAACTTTTTCTTAAGTGTGCGACTTTTACAGCCAGCCAGCCCAAAATGCCGAAAGGCAAATGTAACAAATGAGTGCCAGAACTCGGGCCAAAGCCATAGAGCAAAAAGTGCCAACTTAATTGAAAAGTATTGTTCGCTTCTTTATGTCAGTTTCCTCTGACGCTGTTGACAATTTGCAAACAAAGAGCAACTATGGATAGATGTGTAATTTTAATTAATATGCGAGAGTCTTACACCCCGGAGGATTGTGGTAAGATAATGAGAGGAACTCAAATGGGCTCTTTCATCTGGAAATACTTAAGAAGCAAGCCCTGATGCTTCTTCCAATGAAATGGTAACTGTACTTAGTTTTCGAAGGATCAACGAATTCATATACATGTATAAGAAAAAGAGTTCCTGATCGCTATTCGATCGTTTTTCTTTTATTTAATGCCTACTTTTGTATTTCGAGAAAAAAGTGTATGGCGAATATTTTCAGCTATCTTAAATATATAGTATGAACAGACGAATTTGAAATGACATTGAATACAAAAATCATATAGAGTATAATATTTTTATTGTTTGGCCGGCTCGAGGTCAGAGTAAGAAAAACCAATTTATTTAATTTTCTTTTCTTTTTCCGATATATTTCGGTTACGCCACGGTAACCGTCTTCAGGGCAACTACAAAACATATAACATAATTAACATATTAAAACTATAACACAAAAATTTTTTATATAATTACTTATTTAAGCAAGTCTGCTCTGTTTGACTTGGAGTTACTAACTAACAGGTGTCTGTAAATATGCCCGCAATTTTCGGTGTCTGCTTTGTAGTTAATTCTGTATTTGTTAGGTGTGTTGATAATGTGTAGCGTTTCGAGAGTGAATCGCTTACTGTAGTGTCGTTCTTGTTGAAGTACTTTCGTTTCTTCAAAGTTGGGGGTGTGTCCAGTCTCTATGCAGTGGGTTGTTAGAGCAGTTTTTTGTGTCAATGTTTGATGCCTTAGTTTGTAGTCTGACTTGTGTTGTGATATCCGTGTTTTTAGTTTCGACTTAGTGGTTCCAATGTAAAATCTCCTACATGGGTTGTCGCTGTCTCCGTCACATGGAATTTTATAGACTACGTTATTCAGGTCCATTTCTGCAATTTTTGCCTTAGTCCTATTAAAAATGTTCCTAAGTGTATTCTCCGGTCTGTGCGCAATTTGTAT